GTGCATTTGGGGGAATGGAACATCATATTTACCCTCTGGTAAACTAAGATAACGAACTGGGAAATCTCCATTTTTCATGGGTATCAGCTATTTATATGGCCATTTTCAATAGCTTTTTGTATGTTTACCAGGCCGGGTATTTCTTGACGTTTGCGTTCCTTTTTCCAACGCAAACGTGCTCAGGCAACGACGGATGCCACCAAACCTCAGTGGCACAACAGCCTGGGGGCCCGGCGAGGTGGTTTGATTTCCATGGGAAATAGATGGAAAACGATGGAATTATCATGGAAAATGACTTGGAAATAGTGTTTATATCATCTGTTTGGTGGTTTGGAACATTTTTTTTACATTTATTGGGAATAAGAATCCCAACTGACTAATATTTTTGAGAGGGGTTGAAACCACCAACCAGTCATAGTTGGGTTTCCATAGTCATGGGTTTCCATAACTATATCATATTCAAAATTGGGGAAACCCATAGTCATGGGAGCTTAGAGCTGGGTGGGTTTGTTGATGCGACATTTTTGTGAACATGGATGATTCATCGATGATGGATCTTCAATAGCTGCTTGGTTTATTTCATGGACAATCCGAAAATAAACTGATAACTATGGGTACTACCATGACTTAGGAAACCTCCATATGGTAAAACAAACTGGATGTTTGAAAATTTGGATGAATTTGAAAAACCTCCAATTTGGATTTTGGATGAAAAAATGCTAAGCCTCCTGAAATGCCATTGGTTTCCACCAATTTGGAAACCAATTTGTGGCAACTAGTCGTAACTAGTTGATGCCTCCTACAGCGGCACAACTCGTCAAATGGTGGAAATGGCTGGAACAGAAGTAGAGTCTACAAATCTGAAATGATGATCTGATGGTGCGTTTTCTGATCATTTCTGGGCGTTATGACATATGAAAAAATACTATAGTGGTGATAATTTGTCAGTTATGTCATAGTATATACATGAAATATCACCATTATATCTGATTATTTGTAAGAATCTGGTTATAATGGTGATACTTTTTCGTGGATAATTTATGATGATAAAGTGTGGATATGATGAGGTATATACTGTAACTATAACCTACTGTATATATGATATTTGGGTATACCAAATATTTGGATACATAGATTATAACGACCTCACTGTGACGTCACTGGAATGATGGTTAGGTTTGGCTTAACAAAACCAACATGGCATTCATTCAGATTAGTGATTGTTGTAATTTATCCAGAATTTATCAAACTGTGAATATTGGTGATAGGGGTGTTTGAAAATGTACTCCCCCAAATGGCCAATTTAATAGGGACAATTATGAAACACCAGCCATCCTATTTTCAGACAAACGCACATAATGGGGATATTTGCTGAGATATAAAAACCAACTAGCTTGTATTTGGGATTATCTGTACGTATATATATATACATATTAATTGTATATGAAATTTCTGATTATTTTTGGTGGCATAATTGTTGTAACATACATTAACACCCGATCAATCTAGACGAAACATAGTTGAACAGATGGATAGTTAGATACAATGGAATAGATGGATCAACAATTTCACATGGATGGATAGCTGGATATATATATACAGTATTTATATATATATATATATAATACACATATGTATACATACATACACATGTAGGTATACATATATACAGATTAATACAGTGGGAAAACAGCAGGGCCCTTGGAAAAGCTGGGGATTTCAGGTCCTGGTCACCATGCCGTTTGCGGCAGATATTTATTTTTCACCATCAACTAAGTTGGGGCCATGATGGGATCCCCCAATGATGGGACCATACTCATCCCATACTCATCCCATAGAATTGGGGTTTCTTATACAATTTGTACCCTCTGGTAAACTAACATAACTATGGAAAATCACCATTTTCAATGGGTAATTCCACTATTTCTATGGCCATTTTCAATAGCTACGTTAAATTACCAGAGGGTAGGTTTCCCTTCTGAAACTTCATAAAACTAAACTCTGGATGGTTTTGCAGCTGGATGGCTTTTTGTTCGCCTTAAAACATCCCACAGCGCCGGCCCTTGGCTTTCTTCCCAGGTCATAAAGTGCGCGACCAGAAAAACTTCACCATCCCCAACTGCACGGTGTCATGGCCAAGTTGATGGTGATTTCATGGGGTAAAAAAACATGTTACCCTCTGGTAAACCTACAAAAAACTATGGAAAGATCCACCATTTTTCATGGGAAAATCCACTATGTCTATGGCCATTTTCAATAGCAAACGGTTAAATTACCAGAGGGTATTAAGCTACCTGGTTGATATGAAACGACCTCATGATACCTGTTGATCAAGCAGTTTTTTATGTTTTTTATGGGATGGGAGTCGGAGTATTTTTCCATGCAACCAGGACTCTGTGTCCCAATCCATTGGCAATACTCGAAGGGGAGCATCCTTGGAACAGTTCAGGAATGGGGTGGAAGGAAAATCATGGCTGGAAAATCCCTCAGCACCCATGAAATCCCATGGAAAAACCCTGAAAAATTCATTGGGAGGCCCTGGGAATTTCGCCATGTTTGAGGCTTGAGACATGGTCTGATAGGCTCATTTCGTACATAGGTAAAATCGCTGGAGACATCAGTGACTATGACCTTTCTTTTCAAGAGATGATGGCCAATCCCTTGAAAGTAAAAGGGTATGTAAGGTATGTGTATATATATATATATCTAATATAATCTAATCTAATATAATATAATATAGTATAATATAATATAATATGATATGATATAATATTACATATAAGAATTTATAACTCTGAACTCTTTCCTTTTTGAGAAAATCTGGTTTCTCTTGGAACGTTCGGATCCTGATCGTCTCGGATGGTCGGATCCAGGAGGATGAGGACTACGTACCCCCAGGTGCTGCCAAGCTGGGCGGGTTGGGAGGGTATGGCCATGGCCTACGTGGACCACAGATGGGTCATTCTGAAAGCAGGAGGAAATTGGGGTGAAACAAAACACTTGAAACATGGGGAAAATGGATGATCAACCATACTAACCCGTGCATTGTTTTGAGTACCGGAGTTTGACCCCCAGATTTTTGCGCAATGCAAGTTCTCATTGTGGGCAGGATTTGATAGGGCACAAAGGCTATTTAGGTCAGCAGAAGAACCGCCCAGAGTTTGGAGAAACATGTAAGCTACAGGTTTCTGAGACGTGGACAAGAGAATTGCAGGTGCATGTTAAAAGGGCTTGTAAGCTTGATATCTCAGTTGCCTCTCTTGGATGGTATTGGTTGGACAAGATCCCAATTTGTTGGTAATCTACCTGCCAGTGACTATGTGCAAACTCCAGGATCACCACACTCAGAGGTAGTGAACCTATCTCCTCTCCTGCATCATTCGTTTCATCCCTGCCATCAATTGTCCCATGGTCCAAACTTGGTAAATTGCCAAAACGTTTGGATTCCCGTGGCATGGGATGGATGACCATGCCACATCAATCCCATGTTGACCGTGGCACAGGTGATTTCAACATCGGAAGTCTCAGCGGAGCACACAGCTGGCGGCTTTGGGTCGCGGGTGTAGCAGCCCGGCAGATGGTGGGATGGTGGGAGAAGCCTGGACCCAGGGTGCAGCTTTCAGTTGAGGTTACCCTCTGGTAATTTAACATAGCTATTGAAAATGGCCATTGAAATAGTGGATTTTCCCATGAAAAATGGTGGATCTTTCCATCGTTTTTTGTATGTTTACCAGAGGGTAATCCCATTGGACCCCGCCACCGAGGTCTGCCTCGCCTGGGTGAACCTTTGAAACTGCGAAATTCATTGCCTGGTTGGCACTGCTGGGAGAAATTTTGGGATGGAGCTTGATGAGGATCAAAGGCAGCTGCTTATCAGTGCTCATCAAAAACCCTTTGGTGGCCTCAAACAGCCAGCTGGCTGAAGAATTCCTGAACCACTGGAGGTTTGTCATGGGAAGTCATAAGTCACTATTGCTGGGGATTTTCCGTTGCCACGTGAACGGTTTCCGGAGGGTATATCATTGGGAATCATTGGGCCAAGAGAAACTTGCTGTGTAAAATACCCGTGTTTTTGGGGCTTTCAACTTATTATCACCCCTTGGAGCAGGACATTGAAATGTCATCCCAGAGACTTGCCCAGCACCATCTCCGCACAGTCGTGGAAGGCTAAGCCTCTGCGACTGCGTTTATATCTTTTTGCTTACAGCCCTACAGCTGAGCAGCTCCGGATGCCGCCATGGAGGAATCCTCTGATACCAACAGGGGTTGCTGGTAGATAAACCCAAGGAAAGGAGAATTATCCAATGGTTCAGTAAATCCTACAGTTTGAGACCCAAGGATGGAAATAGTTGGGACAGTTCATTTCTGCAAATTAGACTAAGCACAGCCACAGAAATCATGGGAAACTTGGGCGCGGAAACTTGACATTTCCGGGGAATCTCCTCATCACAATCATGTTTTCATGACTAGTTTCGGTCAGCTTCAAAGCTAACGAAGGCTGGATCCCCTCCAGTTGCCAGCTAGGGGCGGCGTGGCATGGGGTCACGTCCAGCGGTCGGTTTCGGTTCAGAGTTTAGCAACGACAGCTGCCTGGACCAACAACCACAGACAGCTGCCTGTTGGAAGAGGCTCAAAATTTGGTAAACAGGATCCAATGGTGAACCGCCAAGACCCTCCTGTTTGTTCATTTGATCGGACTGACGAAAGCAGGCACGTGCCACTGAATAATCCCAAAGAAGACCTGCCTGCCTTGCGGGTCATTATATATCCCCTTGAGCTGAGAGCTGTAGTAGGATACCATCGATGGACTCAGCCGATCCGGTCATTGCCCCATAGCATCTCAACCTTCAATGATACACTCCAGAGTTGAAATGAGTCAAAAAAGGGTCACATGCCAATAAAGGCGGATTTGGATTTTTTTGACATATCATATGTCTGACTTTCCAGCCCAATTTCAATGGATCCCACTTGACATTTCGATAGATGTCTCCATTCCCAAGGTTCAAGCGCCCGGACACCATCCCAAGCGATGGCAAGTGCGCGGTTGGGCCGGGGGAAGAGGCCATCCAGCCAAGTTCAACACCCCCTGGCCATGAAACCATGGTGGATGTAGGGGATTTTCACATTCCATTGGGACCATTGAATGGGGGTGTTTAATAATAGGGGGATGGGATTATATGGCTTACCCTCTGGTTATTTAACCTATGGAAAATTGCCCATTTAGTTCGATGATTTATGATGATTTACCCAGCTAAAAAAATGTGATTTTCCATAGCTATGTTAGTCACCACACATCCCAAGGTACACCTTGCAACCCTCCACGGTCTCAGATTTGGCACTGGCCCGGGCGTCCCGGGGTGAGGGGAGGGGATCCCAGTGGTGTCAGCGTTGTTTTCAGGGTCATGTTGGTATATGGGATATCCCAGTCAGTATGGAATTATAATGAATTAATTATATATATATATTGTATCTGGTCCATATCTATATCATTCTATATCCTTATTGTGTCTACTGTGTCTGTATTTGGATCCGTGTCTATGCCTGTGTCCATGTCTGTATCTATCTATCTATCTGTCTGTCTGTCTATCTATCTAAATCTAAATATTACCTAGTCTAATCTACTACTCTGACCTAATCTAATCTAATCTAATCTAATCTAATCTATCCATCTATTTTTACAAACACAGAAACATCATGAGAAAATCTTACATATATATATATATATACATACATACATTATTATATATACCTTATTATATATGTATTTATATCTATATACTTGTGAGGATATCCCTAGCTTAACTTATGTACATCATTGTCATTGGGAAAGTAGATGACTTGGATGAGAACAAAAAAATTGTCCGCGGATCATGGGATGGTCACCATGTGGCCACATTCAAAAGTCGCGGTTGTTGCCAGCGGAAAAAACCCTTGGATCTTTGCAAACACTGGAGGATAACAACCAAAGAAATCTCACGTGTAGAAAGGCAGTTTCATTGTCTTTCCATGATGTTTGAAAGAAAGAGGGCCGTTGTCATTGCCATTTAGATAGGTAGACAGATAGATAGCTAGATAGATACTATAGATTAGATTAGGTTAGATTAGGTTAGATTAGATTACATTAGATTAGATTAGATAGATAGATAGATAGATAGAGAGGGAGAGAGATGTGGACAGATGGGCAGATGGGTAGATGGGCAGATGGACAGATGGACGGATGGCTAGATGGATCGATGGATCGATGGATAGATGGATAGATCCATAGATGGATAGATGGATAGATGCATAGATGGATAGATGGATAGATGGATAGATGGATGGATAGATGGATGGATAGATGGATAGATAGGTGGATGGATAGATAGGTGGATAGATAGATAGGTGGCTGGATAGATAGGTAGGTAGATAGATAGATCGATAGATAGATAGATAAATATCCTAAATATTTAGATTCAAACAAACACAGCCAAAAAAGCTTCTGGAAGATCTTATTTGCCCATATTTTCCCGTTGGAAATGGTGTCAACAAATCAAGCATTTTTGCTGCCCAAATCGCTCAGCCCTGCCATGCCACGATGCCTTCCGAGGACAGTAAAACCTGGAGCTCGGCGGTGGTCCGCGAACTCAGGAAATCAACCTGGAAATATATATATATATGCACTATATATATATACACACACTATATATATATATGTATATATCTATATAGTAAGGTTGGGGAAATCCTGATGGACAGATATGGTCAGCAACTGGATGGGATGATTCGTGGGATCTCTCATCCACCCAATGGTGAACTTGAACATTGGGGGGCAATATGTGGTGACTCGTCATGTGGGGTTGGGAACAACCAGTAGATAGATAAAGCAGCAAACCTAGGGTTTGGAACCATCAAGTGATGCATGAGATGTGGATCGAACTATGACTGTGAATGGGTATTGTCCAAGACAAGTCGGGATTTTAATCGCACCACCACAAATTGACATAACATTATTTCATCACCAACATGAAGGCCTAAGCACCAAAAATATGGTCTGGGCCAAACATTGTAAGATCCATTGTGGAGGAATTTCCGACAAGACTGGCTGATTAGCTGATGTGGAGATGTTGAAGGTAAATGTAGTCACATAAAGGATGCACATAAACCAATGGTGCCGGGTGCCCAGGACTTTTGGTGATTTTTGGAGGTTTTTGATAGGAACTTTGTGGTTTTGAAATTTGGGGGTCTGGAGGCGTTGGCCTCAACTTTTTTCTTTGACTTCACTCCCACTCCCAGTTGGTTGCTGTGGATCAACAAGTATTTTTTGGGATGTTCCAGACTTGAAGGGAACATTTGCAGGAACCTTCCATGCCAAGAAAATCGATAAAATTCATGCCAAATCCATCATTTTCGGTGAAATCCACATTTTCTTTGCTTCACGACCCCATGTTCTCCACCAACGTTTTCGCTTGAGATCGGCAACCTCTCGGATTGGATCCAGATGGAGACGTCCGGGCCGTCCAG